AATACGATAAATCTTCTACTATCAATAAAGTAAATAAAAAAAAAAAAGGAAAAAGAAAATTGACTTCCTTCGAATATAATTGTGGTTAAATATCAATTTTGATCCTTCAACTTTAAGATTTGCATAATTTTCACCTTTTTATACATTCTTTTATCCCTTAGTTATGAAAAATGCACATTTTTAATCTTCTGTCCATTAATTCGTTAAATCTAAAAATGTGTAATTCGTTAAATCTAAAAATGTGAAGATTCAGATAGATTTAATAAATTAATTGATAAAAAAATTAAAAAAGTGCATTTTCTGTAGTTAAGGCACTTTAAAATTAAGGGATCAAAATTATATAAAACTTTATAATTGAGGGATCAAAATTAATATTTAACCTATAATTTTTTGTCCATGGATGTGCTTGTCCCGTGAGGACGAGATATTTTCTCCGTTCCTAACCCAAGAGGGAAATATAGTCCCACCAATACAAAGGATAAGATTCATATCCCTTCCCTCCTTCCTAATAAAACCTAGACAAGGCTCACCAACCCCGTACTGAATTACTGGGAACTGTCATTTCTTTTATTGTGACTTGTAATCAAAGCAAACAACAACTTTTCAACAATCCCAAAAGAAAAGGCAAAAACCCTTGTTAAGCCCCAGACTTACCCCATAATAGTATTTAAGCTCCTAAACTAAAAACAAAATAAATAAACCCTCGAACTTCACTAATGATGCAAATAAATCCTTCTCATTCATGGATATTCATGCTTTCAAAGTGATATTAAACATAATATATCGTTTGACTCATTTGTGAAAAAAACTTACTTACATTATTAGTGGAGTTTGAGGGTTCATTTGTTTTATTTTTAGTTTAAAAACTTATATATTATCTTGAGGGAAGTTTGGGGACTTAAGAAAAGCTTTTGCCAAAGAAAAAAAAGGGGCCAAACAACAAATTTGAAATGCTAACCATTTAGAAATTAACATATTTTGGCTGCTGCCCTTCAATTTTTGCTTTATACACTTGTAGTTGCAAGAGAACTCTAGAGCACTTCTGAATCCGATCTGCTTACTTTGGTAAACCTACAAAGCCCTGAGGTGGGTCCCCGGGGTAGACACTCCGATACCTAAGTCAGCAGTAATCAAAGCTACCAAATGTGAATCAAGAGCTGAGCTT